GATAGGAAGTTATCATGAAAATAAATGTACTTACCTATATTATAATTGAAAATGTAGCAGGCGCTAGGTTTCATAATTAATAAAACCTGTAGATAAATGTTATGAGCACCTGAATGTTATAAAATATTTATGTATTATATTTATAGTTTAATATTTTTCTTTATGTTTAATGTTTTAAGTGTATATCAGTATTTTATATTTTAAGCATAAGTCGCTCTTATTCATTAATAATAAAACTAATATTCATATAAAATAGTTTTAAATTATATTATTTCATAAAATGTTTTTTTACACATCTATATTTCCATAACGTCTTAAATACAATAGGTATTAGCATTGATTATAAATATTTATATATTAAACGTAAACTAATACGTATTTATAATCAATGATATTAAGTAGGTAGGTACGTACTTTTAAAATATAGAATTATTAATTATTACACTTATAGACTATAGTTATTAGTTTAATATTTATAAAATAATCATATTTATATTTTTGTCTTTTAGTGGTTTTATTCAGAATATCCCGAGTCTGTAAGTACTATACCTATAAAAACAAACAAATATTTTGATGTGTTAATGCTAATAAGATGTTTTCGAACTGATCGAGTGTATCAGTCTGTTAAAAATTATGTTTATCAAATAATTGAAGTAAATAACGAGAGTTGTATTAACAAAAAAAATACAAAGTAAATACATAGATATTTCTAAAATCCGTTAATATTTACTATACTTAGTTTATCTAAGCTGAATATATATATATACAGGGTGATTCTTTTATCAAACAACACTTAAAGGGTGTTCAATAATTTTTGAAATAATGAGTGTTGTTTGATAAAAGTATCACCCTGTATATATATATTATTTAAAAAAGTATTCCTTACAATATTTGTGTACCTGTACTGTATATAGTGTATATAATGTATATATATAGTTGTGTAAAGTTGGTTATATAACACCTTTCTATAATTTTTAAATTGTATACTAATTTGTATTATCATTTATAGTCTTGAAGTCATACATAAAAAATTTTCAAATTTAACTCCRTGTGTATTGATATTGAATGACGGATCAGATCCAGCCAAAGATCTGACTAATCTTGCACAAAAAAATGATATTACTGGTCCTACGTTCAAAGTTCTTTCATTAGGAACTTTCGATGAGAATGTGAGTTTTAACTATATTAATAAATAAATATTCTTCACAATATAAAATAAATTATAGATAATGTGTTTATTAGGTTATTTATTTAGCTTTAAAATCAGCAATGCACCGTGGTAATTGGTTGATAGTTCAAAACTGTAATTTTTCTATTCGTTTTTTGTATGATATTGAATGTATATTAGAACAAGCAAATGAAAGTTGGCATCCAAATTTTAGATTATGGCTTATATTTAATGGATATTCACCACTCAGCGAATCATTTCCAATATCTCTTTTGCTCAGGTCATTAAAAGGTAACATTTTATTTAATTGTACTRAATATCCAAAACACTAAACTAATATATTTTACCCTACAATTTTTRAAATAGTTATCATTGAACCTTCAAATCATATGAGAATGTGTATGCAGAATGCTTTAGATAAATAYAATTTTAATGATCAAGAAGATAGAAATTCTCATCCTGCTTTCAAATCTTTAATATACGCTTTACTATTTTTCCACGGAATATTATTAGTAAACTTTTACATTAAATATTCTTAGCTATAATAAATAACCTAAGTTTTTACACTTATATTTTAGGAACGTAAAAAGTATAATCAATTTGGATGGAGTTTATCATATAATTTTGAATATTCTGAATTTGATATGTGYCAACAAATAATTGCTATATTTTTAAAAAAAAGTAAACCAGATGAAATACCTTGGTCATCATTAAAATATCTAATCGGTGAAATCATATATGGAGGAAAAGTGATYGATAGCTATGATCGCAGAATTCTTTTGACATACGTGGATGAATATTTTGGTGATTTTATATATAGTTCTTACCAACCGTTTAGCTTTTACAATTGTAAAGATTGTTATAAGGAGGTAAAATATATAGAAGTGGAAAAAAAGTTATTTGAAAGTAATGAACTCAATCTGATGGGTAAGCATTATTTGTGAAATTAATTCTTATATAGTTACACACACACGCAGACACAGTCATAAAAAAATACACATAATAATACTACAGACTATTATTTTTTTTTATAAAGTTACAAATATTTTATTATAATTTATAAAAAATAATTTATTTGTTTATCATAATAGAAGCAGTAAATGAATTGCCAATATCTATTAATCCAAAAGTTTGCGGATTAAATCCAAATGTTTTGTTTGGATACCATAATAATTTAGYTAGYCATTTGTGGGCGGATATGATAAAGTTATATCCAAGTATTGATACAATCGATGACAAAAATACTGATTGGGATAGAGTTGTACAAAATACTACTGAACACATTTTAAAATCATTGCCTGAACTCTATAATCTTAATAAGGTGAAAACGTTTTACGGAGATAAATCTTTTGCTCCTAATATCATAGTTTTGCTTCACGAACTTGAACATTTTAATGCGTTATTATGCGTAATAAGAAACTCTCTATCWCAGCTCTCAAAGGTAAAATCTAATATATATTTTTGTTTATTTATTTAAATACTCGTATAACAATTTTTATATTTTATTTATATATATATATTTTTTTTTTTGGGGGGGGGGAACTAGTGTGGTTTGGTGGACCAGAAGCGAGTTTTACCACTCACAAAGGGGAAGGGGACTAGTTAAGGTTCAAGAATTTATTTAGCTGTTTTTGAATCTAAATACAATTTAAAATTATTTTAATTCATTTTTWWAAAAATACATTTGTTTCACAATAACAACATATTTTAAATAGTTATATTACTAATTTACTATTAATTTTTAACCGAAACCTTTAAATATAGATTCATAAAAGTAATAACAAAAATAAACTGTTTATTTAAAAAATATTTGTATTACATTATGATGGCTGTAATCTAAATTGTATTATTTTACAGAGCCATTCAGAGCATTTAAATGTCCATAAATATTAAATAACCATATTCTTCAATGACGATATTTTATAATAATTACTGATTTATCATAATACTCGCTTTAGAGAAATAGATASATTATTCCCAAGAGAGGGCTGATAACCTTAGTCATAAACAWATTTTGAGGTGAAGTATTGGCCGACATCACTAGTTCCCGGATAGGCGACCACCTAGGTTTTTAGTGACGAATCCTTKCCCCATATTATACACGTGTTTTTCAACCAACYRTAACCTCCCAACAAAATGCTATTGATCATAGTTATTGATGCTTAAGATCAATAAAAATAAAATTATATTTATAATTTTATATAGGTATTTTTGGGAAAAGTGGAAATGAATACAATGCTAGAAGAAGTTTCAACGTGTTTATACGCCGGACGCGTCCCAGGATGCTGGAGCAAATTATCACCACAGACAGTTAAATCATTGCCACGTTATATTGAACACCTTACGAAACGTACACTTCAGTATTCAAATTGGGTAAAATACAAACGTTCCATTTCAGATTTAATTCATATTAAATTCATATTCATTTAACTCATATTAACACTGTACTAAAATACTACTTTTAAATTAATACATATTTTTTATGTATGGTTCACCAGAGCCAAATCAGAGAACCTTTAGTCATGTGGCTATCAGGGTTACATTCRCCAAAATCCTATCTAACATCTTTGATACAATTGGCATGTAGAAAATATGGCTGGTCAATTGAACAGAGTATGTTTTATACATCTGTAACTCAATGGACTTGTGAAAGTGAAGTTCAACGAGAACCAGACGCCGTAAGTATAAAACGCTAAGTTATACCCATGCGTAAAGAGCAACAAATTTAAGTACAATATAAAAATATAGGTATACAACTAGTGCCAGTTCTAGGTTAGGTCAACTGGGATATTTGTCCTAGGCCTGGCGCTTATTCCTTAGAATTAAGGTAGGTAATATTATATAGTTCAATAGTTCAATTGAAAAACTGCTGTTAAATGTTTCGTTATTGGTGCATTATTAACTCAGAGYATAATAATTCGGAAATGTTTATATCTTCGAAATTGATACTCATGCCCATAAGGAATAGTGTTCAATAACACTAAGTGGTCCATCCAATTTAGTAAAAAGCTCCATAATGGCCTTCAGTTGATTGTCTAACTTCATAAACCATATACTTTTTTTGGTGGTTTACCTCTTAGGGTAAACGGTTTTCATAATACTTACCTCTGTGTCATATAATTTATTCAACAAAAACATATTTTATATATTTTTTGAAAATCCTACACCTAATTAAGTAAAATTTAAATTACAAYCGATTAACTTGTAAATTTCAAAATACTYCWYAGTCAATYTCAACCGGGCCATTATTTAATACGACTCATAAGTAGTMAAGTAGATAATATTGTAAAGGTAAATAGAGTCCGATAGTAGATGAGTATTTTTAGCTGCCTATATTATAATATAAATGTTGTGTTTTTTAAGGGATGTTACATCACAGGATTATATTTAGAGGGCGCACGCTGGGATATGGATAAACAATGTTTGACGGAATGTACATTTCATAACACGCTTGAAAATTTACCGATTTTGGCTATTAATCCAATTGAAACTCGCCTACTAAAATTACCCAAGAGTTCAATTAACATACCAGTATACGTGACTTCGAAACGAGGAAAATTGATGAACGACAATTGTGTATTTGAAGCCAATTTAAATACATTGGTGCATAAGAGCTTTTGGATTTTACGAGGAGTTTGTGTTATTATGAATACTGATTAGTTAATAATAATTTACTATTATCAATAACACGAATTTTAAATTATTTTATTATTTGCACATACAACAACATATTCATAAAATATTGTAATAATCTGTGTAACTAAATTAAAATAACAAATTTTGTATTTTTCTTACTAGGTAACTTATTTTATATAACACTAAAACAATAACATTTAATTTGTTCGAGAAAAAGTTCATAAAATATTAAAGTTCAGAAACTATAACACCATTAACGAAAAGACTGTGCACGACACCAATTTTTTTATCACAACTATGTTCAGTTCGTATGGTTACTAACATTTCACCAACAGAAAAATGTGTTTCTGTTCCATTTTCAATGAATTCCGACTAAAAAAAAAAAAATAGTTTTGAATTTTTATTAAAAGATTATTATTGACTTATAAGGTATAGGTAATACAAATTAATAAAATTGATTTTACCATTGCGTCTGTAACTTGAGTTCCGTTCACAAAAATATCCATAGTGGCTTTATCTGAAAATTACCAGCACATATTATATAATTACATGAGTGAAAAACAAGATTATTATTGCATTGCTGTATTTGATTTTTTATTTCAAGTTAACAGTTAAGTAAAAACATTTCATGTTGTTTAACWCAAAATAAAGAAGATATTTTAACTTAGTATCGTATACAACTGAATAATTATTTTATTTCGGTTTGAATTTATTTTTAAAATTAAAACACAATACATTTTGTGTGTTGACATGTGATTRTTATTGATTTTTCAACAGTATAATATAACGTGCATCGTTTTTTCATATGTTTGTTTTGTTTTTTTTCAGTAAATAGTTACCCATTAATTATATTACCTAGAATAATTCGGTTTTCAACACCATTGTCCGTAATAATTAACCAGGTAGATCGATTTTTTGAAATGTATTCGCAAAATTCTTCCAACTTCTTTCCATCAACCAACAAATCATATGTGTACATAAATAATCCATCGGGTTCTACTTTGATAGTGCATTGTACCTTGTCTATATCAAAAACTTCATCTCCGACTAATCGAAACATCCAATCTTTTCGTCTCACTATCTGTCATTATCAAAAATGTACATCGTATTACGTATATAAATATTAAATATAATATATTATACAATACATTWTATTCTATGATTTACTAGTATTATAGTTATTATTTTTTAATATAATATTTAATTTACTAGCTGTCCCATCCAGCGTAGTTTTTWAAAAAATATTTGTATATAGATGTATGTGCCATATATTAATAATGCTGRTTGGAAAAACTATAAAGTATGCAATATTTCTATTAATTCTAATAGTAATAAATAACCGATATCAGCCCTATAAATAAACAAAACAAATTTTCCTTTTTCGTGAGTTGAGCTAMTCTTTATAGCTACCTATAGCGGTTTGAAAAAATACCATACCTCCATGTCTCAAGAAATATTTTAATATTGAAAAGTTTCGCTAGATAGGTACTYCTTTTTGTGCGTAAGAAACACCGAGAAGAATAACAGCACACAAATATGAAATAAATAACAACTCGACCTGACTCGATAGCGAGACTAATAAAACATTTATTTATTAAACATTAAGTTTCRTTTCGGCGCTCGGATCTCTCACTCGCACGCGTTGCTTGTTTGCGGTGTGCGAGAGAGACAGAGCTAAAAACTGCAGTTTTATGAGTTACATCTATCGTTTCATAGATCCGTCGTAACATGCTATATTATTGACTATTATAATCGCCGTATTTATCTAACCTTCACCCGTTTCTACCAACCTTTGCCGACTTGGTAGCTTTCTTGCCCAGGACCTCAGTCCACGATGTTTCTCCTATTTAGGTGGAAGTAAAGTGGAGGTAGTTTTGACCATGGAGGTAGTTTTTCCCTTGGATGCAGTTTTGACCATGGAGGTAATTTTTTCCTTGCATGTAGTTTTTACCATGGGGGTAGTTTTTTCCTTGGAGTYGGTAACTTTTTTTTTGGTATGTGCACTCCATGACCAACCTGAGGAAAACTTTTCCTTTCGGTAATCCTAATCCCAGTGAGTGAGCGCCGTTTATTGATATCAACAACTATTACATAATAAATCAAAGGACCATGGTGATGGGCCAGTCTCCCACTCACATATACAAGCTTTTGAGGAGCTCTATCCCCTCAATATTGCCCCTCTTATACACACTCTTATGCTTTTTCCCGGACACAAATATACTTTTGCAACAAATAATAAAATAGTACGTAACACTCAACTTCTTACAATACATTTTGAATAAAAGTAAAATCAGATTAATTATATCGTTATGTTTAAGGRTGTTTATATAAAAACTTGCACTGTATGTTCCTGTAAAAATGATCAAGAATTCCGATCAAATATTTTGYGAGTATCCATAAAAAATGATTCGTAAAAACCATATGAATTAAAAACATTTATGGATTTTGGGAGTTCAATTTAAAACCCGGGAATAGATGTTTAAGTTGTAACGAGGATACAACTCATAATTGTTAGTTCATTTTATGGCACGAAAACCTMCTAAGRGCTAAGACAGGATAGTTCAAAATTCGGCYCCTGCAKGGATTATAAGGGTTATATAATATAAAGAAGAAAAATTGTTCATTTGATCAGTTTAATCTCTGAAACTATTTAACTGATTTAAACATTTTTTACCATCAGGAAGCTACACAATCCCAAGAATCTATAGGCTTAATTATGTCTTAATAAGTTGCCCTTAATTTTTTGTTTGCAAATTTGAGATTTGTTGTATAGAAATAATAATAATAATAATATTAAATATATGTTCGTATATTATATGGTTGCTATTGGTTAGGTATACAATTTAGTATGGAAGAATAAGAAATTAGCAATTTGTTATTACGTACCAATTTTAAAAATTCTTTCACCTTTACAAATCTAAAAAGGCGGGTAAGTCGTGGATGTCG